CCAGCAAGCCTCGGGCGTGTTTTCCTTTTTTAACGTGCCCTGCAGCAGCTCCGTAAACTCCTTCCTGTGGAAGAAAGGATCTTTTTGCAAACAAAGAGCTGAAGTTACTGGTGACCAGTTAGGGCGAACTGTGCTTTTCCCCAGCGGCCCAAGGGCAGTCCCTGGGAGGAGCGGTGGTACCGGACACAGCCCCCAGGAACTGACTCCTAGTAGCTGCAGGGCCCATTATTAAAGCTTTAAGAAGTATTTGCTTTCAACGTTTCCTCATATTTTTTTTTTTTTCCTAACAACGCAATGTTTGTTAAAGTCTTTCTCCTGTACACCTAGGCACACGTCCAAGGCACACAGTAACCTGTTTCTCAATTTTTTGCAAAACAAACGCACTGTAACCTTGTTGAGCAAGCTAAGAAAAACAAGGTTTATGTGGATGCAGAAACACGTTTTAGAAACCTCTAGACCATACACACAGTAGACCAAAACGTGTTAAACCTCTTGTTTTTCTTGCTTCACAGACAATATAAAATGCTCTGGAAAGATATACCTGATCCTATTGCCTTTACTAAAAAGGGAACAAACATGAACAAACAGTTGTTCACCCTGTAAAATGGAGTTCTTAAAGGACTAAGGAAAACACAAAACTGTATGCTTGCTTCAGTGGAAATAGTTCACAACTCAGATGCCCAGGAATTTGCTGACTTTCTGGTTCTAATTTCTTTTCATCCTCTATAAAAGACTTTAAACACATGCAACAGGACCTTTATCATTATTTGGGTGATATGATTTAGGGGTGAACGTGCCGTGTAGGGTGACTTGTCGTGTAGTGTTAATGGTTGGACTCAATGATCCCAAGGGTCTTTTCCAACCTGAACTGTTCTATGATTTGCAGTGTTATGCAAGATACCTTCTTGAAAGCATTAAAAAAATTAAACTATTGTGCGTTCTCCTGGAGACCACTCTAACAGGTGCAATCGTAATAGCTAAAGGCAACTAAAACATGCCCTGACAGAAGCACAGAAGGCATGATGCGCTTCTGCCATAGAAAAGGAAGCAAAACAAAAGGAAACCATGGTGGCTGTTTTTTTTTGCTATTCAGTAAATTCCTTATGCTAAACAAATACTTGAACTCAAACCAGTAAAGACACATACAGTTCAATTATCTCTTTAGTTCATTGGTTTATTTACTTTTCTGCAAGAAACACCAATGAACTGAAGTCAGATACTATAACTGATTACCACTATGAAAAATGAGCATTTTAACCATTAAGGAGAGAAACAGAAGAAAGGTCACTGCTGTAGCCTGCATTTGCTGTTAAGACCAAACTGCAGAATGAGATTACTATATCTACAGTATTGAGTTTGAAGCTCCCGAAACATCAGTTTGCATGAGGCTAAGTGTTACAGAAGTAGCATATTCTTAACCAGGTACATAGTCTTTCAGAATTTAAAGAAATCCCAAACTTTATCCCAGAACGTGGGCTCCACTGAAGAACATTTTGGAAGTTTTATTTTTTTTTAGATGGGTTTAGCAGCTACTCACAGTAAAACCTGCACTGCAGGAAATTCTCATGTCTCACTCCAGAAAGTGATAGTGGTCTCCCCCACTCTTAGAAAAACATCTTGCTCCCTCTGGCTGGTTTGATCCCTTTCAAATCCCTAACCTTCCCCTTTGACAACACATTACATTTCAGTGTTTTTTTCAGTTTCAGTGCCTTCTTGCAACGAAAAGGTGGGACTAGTTGAAGGATCTTGCTACAAAGATTACACCAAAAAGAAGCCAGCAAGCTGAAACAACTGTATTTTCTTTCTCTACTTTCTTTCTGACAGGAAAGCAAATATAAATGCTCTTGTCAAATGTTTTTGACAAGATGAGAGCAACATCAGATTGGCTGTTAGAGAACACTGCTTAAAAGAAAACAAAACCCAAAAATCGTGACAAATTTCATTGCAGTGAGATTTTAAGTACAGCTGATTTGATGTAAGAAAACATTATGTCTGTTCAGTATTTTCAACTATCTGAAGGCTATTTTATCTGCAATTTCTCTTGACATGCAATAATTCAGTAGTAGTGAGATGTCTCCAACATTAGAGAGATTTTTCATGCCATGCAGTTCCCACCTATCTAAGAGAATTGTATGTTGTAATGAATGATAAAATTGCCAAACTGGGATGAAAGTATCTACCACCAGCAGCACGTGTATCTGTGAAGGCAGGATGCCCAGAGATCAACATGTCTCAACTGAATTTCGAATCTTCCCATGCTTGGCAAGGTGCATTAAGTACTAAGTAAAACATTCACAGTCTTAACATGGTGTACTCCTTAAAAAAGTAAAACTGCAGAAGAGTTAATATTTGATCGTAAAGGTAACAGCACAAAAAATAATAAACTCAGCTGATGGCAAATCCACCCTGGAGGCAAAAATCTGAATGTAAGTAAAAAGGGCAGCAGTATAAGCTGTCATATTTTAAGCAACTTAGTATGAATGAGGTTCTACAATGGGTCTTAACACCTTCTGTGTAGTAGAAATTGAGACAGCAAAGCTGCTCTAAAAGTTATCTAATTGCTTAAAGCTAATCTGAAATTCATTATCAATTAACAGTTACCACTTTAAGCTATCAGGCCATTAAAAATTACCTCGGAAGATAAAATCAATTTTTCTTGTAACAGGTGAGCAGAAGAGGCTTAATGTTGAATAATCAAATTTTTTTAGGATGTTTATTTGTTCAGTCTTTAGGCAACTACGCATCACAAGATGCAGCAGATGCTTTAACCTCGACAGGCTGCTTCATCTGGTGGACTTAAAAGACATGCCCCCAGACTTATTCACTACTTATTCAGACTTATTAACTACTTCAAACTCTCCCCAACAGAACACACAACTTGGCGTATCATTTGAAAGGCTCGGCTGGTGAATCCCTGACTTGCAGTGAAGTTTCTCTCCTGTAGATTTGAGGCTAATGAAAAGAAAACAGTTTTAAGTTTCCTGCTTCAAATTAAAGCAACAGTGGTGAATAGTTATCCAGACTAAGTCCTCTAGGACACTATCTAGAACAAGAGGACTATATAATGTCTTGGGTATTTTCTCTTTCTAGCTGTGCTATGGCCAGGTTGAAAACCACCACTGTGTAAAGGTGCAGTATAAAGCTAGCTATTACCTTCAGCAAAGTGGTTTGAACAGAGTTAGATTCAGCTCCCGTTGGAGCTCCATCTGGGAGCACTGTGGGAATCCTAACCAAATGAAGCAAAACCACAGAGCTATACAGTGAGCATAACAAGCCTTCATCAAGATGGTTAACAGGTGGACATTAGCCCTAAGGAGACTCTGATGAAACTGAAGTCGTTCACATGAGAACAAAGCACAGAATACCAGCGACCAAAGCACAAACTTCCACCCAGCCTAGTAGAACCTTCTTGCCAATGAACATTTTCTTTAGCAGTGACGTTGAGATGACAACATGCTGAACACACTGAAGCAAAGCAAGTGTTCCACATATCCCCTTAACTAAAAGTTATGGGATCCCTCTTACCTTACAGGAGAAGGAATGGATGGAATCTCATCAATTGACAGCCATATTTTATGGTCCGAAAAGAAAAATCATGAAGTATCTATGCAGATCATATAGTCTGCCATTATTACTAGAAATCAGCATACAGACCTGTTTCTGGACTCGGTTCAGGCTTCCTATTAAAGTTGCTTCCGGAGAGAATGTTCTCTGCAACTTGAAAGACACCCAGAGGAAAATAAAAATTGCCAAGATGTAGCACATGTTGAAGGACAGAAAGTTACAGAAGAGAAATGGTACGTTAAGCTAAGGATGACAGACAAATGAGTCCTAGTTTGAAGAAGAAAACAGCTAGAGTAGATGCTCCAACTCATAGCAGATGACTGCGAAAGAACTTGAGGGAATGGTGTATGATTTGACCTTCCACATTGCAGGATGTGAAAAAGAGAATGATAGCTCTTCAGCCCTTTTGTATCCTGTTAACTCTACAAACATTTGTCTCTAGTGTCTGTGCAACACAATCACCCACACCTTGAATTTGATATTATTTTGAAATGAAAATGTTTAATAATTTTACATTTTTAAAACTGAGAAAATTGGAGATCAGCAATAAACAAATACATAAGAATTAACTAAATTTCTTCAATTGTCATTTATTTGTTTAAAAAATATAAAAGTAATTAATTGCTTCAAAAATAGACTTTAATAGGAATTAACGATGGGCTAATAAGTTAGGTAGCATATCTGTAACTACTTCTAATGTATTTGTATTAGCCATGTCAGATAATATAGCTTTGGGTCTTTATAATTTTTTATTTAAAAACTGAGCTACAAGCTAGATTGAAAACATCAGCTATGAAAATCTTGGACTTTTTTTTTTTAATGGAGTATTGAAAGTCTATTTGCTTTTGTATTTCATCTTAGTTGAGTGACAAAAATGTCACCACAAAGCTGGGTCAAGTACTTCCTTAGAAAGTCATCCAAAAGGTGGCAAACAAGTTAGTAATAAGAAAATATGTTTGTACACAATTAAGTTCATCACAACACATCCCCCAAGAATTATTTTACATTTCTTAGAAGCGCCTAGGGACGTATATGCACCTTTTACGCCTCCTTGATGATTAACATACTAAAGATGCTAAAGAAGCAGGGGGAGGCGAGTTCCTGAGCAGAAAACCCATCATATTAAAAAACTACCCCTCTCTCTAGTACATGGTAGGATTCAAGCAGCTCAGCCACCCAGAAGAGGTCGCTAAGAGACATATATGCTGCAGCTGGGCTACAGCTGTCATAGGGATAGGAAAGTTCGTTATGGTGTGCTATGTAACCTAGCAGCAGGGGGGTAACTGACATACTGTATCATTTTATATATATACTGTCACAAGTTACAGTTATGTTTTTTAACTGTCCTGTTCATGTCAAAGTATTATAAAGATGAATTAAAACATTTTAATTCTTCTGTAATTAAAATGCTAACTTCTACCAGTGTAGGGAGCGTTTCATTGCTTGTAGCCAGGTATCCATAGCAGGTTGGTACTCCTCCAAGTCCTTCTGGGGCTCAAAAACTGTTTCTATTCGCCTTAGCTTCTTCAGTTGCTCTTTGTCAGTCCAAAATCCTATAAACAGAAAGTTAATTCTCAAGCTCAACTGCAAGTATGTTATTTTTGAGATGCTTTAATTTATTTCCAAGAGATCCAAAGCAGGAACACAATAAGAAATCATGACAGCCTTTCTTTATTCAACCAACAACTTTCTCAGAGGGAAACATATTTTTAACATTATGAAACTTCTCTCCAATAGCATCCACTTGCTTGGAATCCTGACAACAGCCCATCTGCTTAACTGTTTCCAAGGAACAGCTCTAGCATACTGAAGATCCCTTAGCTTTCATCCACACTGTGCTTTTGGCTGCAGGTGGCCCTCAATGAAGAAGGGCCACAAAAAGCAACACTTGGCACTAGTTGCTTTCCTACTGTCTTAAAAATTGCATAAATGGCACAAACCAGCTGGTGTTATGTATTCAGATTACGTAACTGAACCATTCTTGTCTGTCAAGGGCTGCAGCCTTCTTACAGTTTTAATTGCTGAATAAGTCTTATCTGAGCATATAGTTCTATCTTCCAGTTGTGTTATTTCAATATCAAAGCAACTTAATGAAGTTAATGGAAATATTGAGCAAAACCATTGAAAGTCTGCAGTTTTAAGTCTGGTTAATTATATAAACCAATTCTGTGAGTGAGTAGAGCTGGATTTGTGGGTTTTTTTTCCCCGTTAATAATTTACTTCGTACTTCTATTGCCTTTATTTCTGTGAAAACCTTAAAGAATAAAGACTCAGTTCACATGACAGTACACAATTTCAGTAGGAATGACACCACCCCACCCTGAGCAGTGCTCCAGGCAGTTCAAATATGGGAAGGGATGCAGAATGTCTGGGTCAAGAAAGATGGAGGCAGCAATGATAGGGTTCACCTCTTTCTTCTCCAGTAGTATATCCTTCTAAATGTAAATTAATCTTACAAACATATATGCAGATACTTTCCAAATTAAACTCACTATCACCATTTATATTATGCATAGAACTGCTCAGCAAATTGGGACATTGTGTCAGAAATACAAATAAGGTCCTTCGTTTGGTTTAGATGTGATATGATCATCTGTTTTGTTGTTCCATCCAATACAAGTACAGGGGTACAAAGCACTATACATAGAAACACAAACATTATTTACCTGGGATTCTCAAGAAAATGGCTAAAGTAATCCTTTTGGAAGTTCTTAAAATTATTTGAAGTTATGGCCTGTTTTTTTTTTCTGTTTCCTTTTGTTTCTTCCTTTTTTTCTCTTTATTTACAAACATGCATTATGAGCGGAAACCCCCCCAACCTTAAACGTATACATACCTGAAGCAAGGCCTGCTAGAAAAGCTGCACCAAGGCTAGACATGTCTGCATTTGCAGGTTTTTCTATTCTCTTATTAATTAAATCTGAAGTCATCTGCATGACAAAACTATTATTACTGACACCTCCATCAGCTCTGTAGTGAGAAGGAAAGAAGTTAAAAAATGCATTTAGTCCAAATGCTTATTGCCAAGATTTCAGAAAACAAATTCTGGGGTTTTACACCTATGCATAAATCTTCCTCTCACTCATGCACAAACACATTTCCATTTCATGGGCAAATTTAGAGGCCAGCACAAGGTGCCTAGAAAAAAAACCAGAATGCCTGTAATCTGTGGGAGGAATGGTAGACAGGGACACAGGACAGCCACATTATCAAAAGGTTCTGTCTTCTAAAACTATATATCATCCTGGTTGAAATGTTAGGGTTTATAACAGAACCTTTACATAGTTACCACCACAACATGACAATAGTCAAAACCATTAACATTAAACAAGCTCTCTCAAGTGTTCTGAGATCTGGAAAAGCACTTTCTTCATTACTACCAAATCTTTGTACTAGTTAGCTAAAATGCCTTCCTTTATGTAAGAAAGATTAGAGTTAGGCTTCCATCTACCTATTTTCCTAATTGCATCATGTTGGAGACCTTTTTAGTGGAGAAAACTAGAACTTACCAATGCTCTGAGAGTGACTGCTAGTAGTGCAAAGAAGACATTTTACAAACAAAAAATAACTACATCAAAAAGTAATCCTTGAATTGTCACAGACTGGGGTCATTATGTTGTTGGACTCCCATACCAGCCAGGTTTGGAGCTGTTGTTCTGTCATGTGTTGCAGTAAAGACACCTACTGTTTATTACTATAGAAAGCAGCTGGGTAATTAAACTTGACAGTTGCTTAGAAGTCTTCAAAAATGCCAGCTGAAAGCTCATATACTATGTGATGCCTCAGAAGACTTTTGCATAAATGTTTTGTCTGTTTCTGAACGTAAAATGAGGAGACACTGCCTGATTGGTGATGTAACAGGGTTTTGCTTGTTTAAACATACAGTTAGACACGGCTACCACCTCCACACTATGGCATAAAAACTTCTATCTGGTAAAGTCACTTTTGTAACAACAGTGATACGCATTTTACTCCTTTAAAAATAAGATATCCATCTGATTCAAGTTACAAGAGGAAAAAAGAAAATTTCCAAATACTCAATGTTGGGTTTAGGTCAATGTTGCTACTAGATACTTTGAAGATTCAATCTGTGAAGTACATATTCTAGCTCAAAGTTCCTACATGCCATTTGACTGAGGATGAGCTATGTCACAGAACAAGCAAGTAGGTGACATGCTGCAGTACCCCAGTGAGCACCAGGATCATCCTTCTAAGGGCTGCCACAGCCTGCTGTAACACGGGACATGAGGACTAAAACTGAGGGTTCCTTCTCCGTGCATTCCTTGATGGTATTGAGACAAGCAAAGAGAAACAATAGGATTGAGGAGAACTAATGAAAACGGTGACTTTTTCTGAGCTTGTAGGAGTCAGAGCCTGTGATTAAATGAGGGATAGAGGACAGCAGCTAAAAAGGGAATGAACACATTTACAGGATAAAACCAACAAGAACAAAAAAAATCAAAGGTAATGGATACACACTAAAGACGTGCTAAAAGAGAACACAATAATACAATTTAAAGTTTACATTACAATGTAAATGGGATCAGAATTCTAATGTTGCTTAACCAGTACTTCCACACTTCCATTTTTCAGTTTACAATCTTCATATGACTTCTCAAATTTTGGATGCAATTTTCTATGTAAAAAAGTTTCCTGAAGAATAAAAAAATCCAGCACTTCTCATCTTTTTCTCTTCATTAAAACTCCAAGCCTGGCTGCTCCTCCATCTTTGCCTACTCTGTCCCAGTATGTGATGGAAGACAGAAACATCCACCTCCCCCCTATTTTGTACTTTCACTTTTCTTCCACTAATCAAAAGTCTGATATCTCAACTGCCTACAAGCCTGCCTGTCTATTTCTTCCTTTGCGGGGACAAAAGCCACAAAAGGGACAGGAACACTAGCGTCTCTGTTCTTGACTGTGGTATAATGATGACCCCTGGCTGCCACAATGAGAAATTTCGGAGAGCTCTCAGTATGAGGCCTTGAGACCCTAAGACAACTGGTGTGTTCAAACACAGTACATACCAAACAAAGTACATACCAAAACATGCAACTTCTTTTCCAGAATAATTCAGGTAACTTTTTCCAGGACGTTGTCAAATCATATTCTAGGGATCATGGTACCTCACTAAATCTGATTTGTTTCTTCAAATGCTGAAGCAAAACCAACGTCTTAACAATGTAATTGTAAAAATGTTCTCCCTCTTCCCCTCACAAATAGATACTCTTTTAACATCTTAAAGAAAAAAAAAAATCAGTCTGTGAAAGACCCAGCACAAAAATAATCAGTATGAAAGAATGATAATAAAGGGTAGAATGAGCTTTGCAGGATATGATACTGGACCTGATGTCACCAATGCAAGTGAGCTACTTGGTGACATCAAGAACGCAGGCAGCCTGGGCTGCAGTGATCATGAGTCGGTGGAGTTCACAGTTCCGAGGGATACGGGTCAGGCAAAGAGTAAAGCCAGGACCTTGGATTTTAGGAAAGCAAACTTCTAGTTCTCCAAGGAGTCAGTCCAGAAGATCCCCATGGAAAGTGCCCTCAGGGACAAGGGAGCAGAACCAGTCCGGCAGATCTTTAAGGACACTTTCCATAGCCAGAGCTCTCGATCCCTGGGTGTAAGGAACCAGGCAAGGAAGGCAAGACACCAGCATGGCTGAGTCAAGACCTGCTGGTCAAACCAAAGCGTAAGAAGGAAATGCACGGGCAGTGGCAGTAGGGACACATATCCTGGGAAGAGCATAGGGACACTGCCCAGTTGTGTAGGGATGGGGTCAGGGATGCCAAGGTGCAGCTGGAGCTGGACTTGGCAAGGGATGCAAAGCAAGAAAGGCTTCTACAGGTTATGTTCAATCAGAAAAGGAAGTTCAAAGAACGCATATTCTCCCTGATGAGCAAGAATGGCAAGCTGGTAACACCTGACAAGGGGAAGGCTTCACTTTTTTGCCTCAGTCTTCAGGGGCAACCTCTTTTCCCACACCTCTCAGTGGATCGACCACAAGACAGCTTGGGAGTGCATCTGCCCCAGGGTCACTCACACATCTCAGGATGAGTCCCATTGTGCTGTTATCTTGATAGCAAATATAGTTATCGTGATGACAAGTACAGCAACTTGGGTATCAAGCACCTCCTGGCCACCTGGACCACGATGCACCCGAACGGTACATCAAGATAAGCCTTGAATGCCTTGGGAGAAATTCCCATTATGCTGTCTCAAGTGCTGCGACATTAGAATGACTCGGCATGAATGATCAAAGCCAACCAAAAAAAGCCAAAGGGGAGACCCTTTGAGCTCTCTGGGACCACAGCAGGCTGTGTGACCCAACATCTCCCAGAGGTGTGATGCCTCTCAGCATCTATTTTGCAAGGAAATCGTCGAATGACGATTCCTCAAGGATTCAAAGGCCTGTCTGATTTTTCAAGCTTCAGGGATAGTCCAATGATGAATACCAGCCCATAAAAGTGAGCAATTAAGAAAACTCATGAAAAGGGAAATTGTGGTCATAGGTTAACCTGTGTGTGTCGCCTCTCTTTCTTCGTGTATATTCATGTGTAATTTGATTCAGAATTTAGTCTGCTTTTTCCTATGTGTGATCTGATTTAAATTGTACCTGTGTGTGTAATCCTGCTGTAAGTTTTGGATGACCTTTGCCATTTTCAAATCTTTAAGTCGCGATTTTGATTGTAACCAAGTCCCTTGAATCATTCTGTTAAATTGGCTAATGATTAAGTGCCCATCTCAAAAAATACTAATAAATCCTAAATTGCCGCTAATGGAAGCAGCCTAACAAAACCTTTTATTCACAGCAGATGGGGACCAGGGGAGCAAAGTCCCTCCCACTGTAAGAGAGAATCAGGTTCACGAAAGTCATGGCAGTTAGGTGAAGTTCCTGGCGACTGGAAAAAGATAAACATTGCACTCCTTTTTAAAAAGGGTAGAAAGGAGGACTCTGGGAATCACCAACCTGTCAACCTCACGCTTATGCCTGGCAAGATCATGTAACTGATCCTCCTAGAAGCTATGCTAAGGCACATGGACAAGGAGGTGATTTGAGACACTGGCTCGATACCCACATGAAGTGTGGTGTCCCACAGGGGTCCACACTAGGACCAGTGCTGTTCAACGTCTTCATCAGCGACACAGGCAGTAGGTCTGAGGGCACCCTCACCAAGTTTGCAGATGACACCAAGCTGTGTGGTGCGGCTGATGTGCCTGAGGGAAGGGATGCCATCCAGAGGAATCTGGAAAAGCTTCAGAAGTGTGTCTGTGTGAACCTCACGAGGCTCAATACAGCCAAGTGCAAGGTCCTGCACCTGAGTTGGGGCAATCCCAGTGTAAGTACAGGCTGAGGGATGAAAGGATTGAGAGCAGCCTTGCAGAGGAGGACTCAGGGGTACAAGTGGATGAAAAGCTGGATATGAGACAGCAATAGTGTGTTCATAGCCCAGAAGGTGAACTGTATCCTAGAAATATGACCAGCAGGTCGAGGGAGGTGATTCTCTACCTCTACTCCACTCTTGTGAGACCCCACGTGCAGTACTGTGTCCAGCTCTGGAGTCCTGCACAAGAAAGACATGGACCTGTTGAAGCAGATCTAGAGAAGGGTCACAAAAATGATCACAGGACTGAAACACCTATCCTATGAAGAAAGGTTGAGAGAGCTGAGGTTTTTCAGCCTGGAGAACAGAAAGGTCTGAGGAGACTTTTTTGCAGCCTTTCTGTACTTCAAGAGGGCCTATAACGAAGATGAGGACAGTGTTTTCAGCAGGGACTGTTGCGATAGGACAAGGAGTAATGGATTTAAACTAAGAGAGGGTAGATTTACACTATAAATAAGGAAGGAATTTTTTACAATGAGGGTGATGGTAGAAGCACCATCCCAGAAGACATTCAAGAAAAGGCTGGATAGGGCTCTGAGCAACCTGATCTATTTACAGATGCCCTTCTTCACTGCAGGGAGGTTGGACTAGATGGCCTTTAATGGTCCCTTTCATCCCAAAACATTCAATGATTCTATGATTGTTATGTGTGCTCTAGTGCTACCTGAAAGCACAGATTTGCCTTTTCATTGGATAATTGAGAGCAATTTCCTTACTTGCCTACTGACAATCATCAATGCCAATTAATTAAGAACCAGCCCTTCTGTGGATACACTCTACTGCCACTTCAGTTACGTTAACACTTGACTTGGTAATCATCTATTTCTCAGCAGCAGAATTTTTACAGTAAGATAAAATGTATAATAAAGCTCATACCTATTTAAAATCAAACTCCCACATATCAAATTTAAAAGTTACACATGACTTACCGAATAGTCTGAAGAGGAATGCGTACCTTCTTCGCAATGATATCATAAAGCTGTTTGTTTCTTAAACAAAAAAATTTAGTTGAATTAAATCATTGTATATTCCATAAAGTGTTTCCAGTGTCTACAGAGTCAGAAAATACAAGACAAAAAATGCCTCTGTTGTGTCATATCTGCTGCAATAGCTAACAAATTTACAGAATACACAATTTTTTTTTTAAAACAAGAAGAGACAGAAAAAAAGATGGAAACTGGTCTTTGTTACACATCATTACAAAGGCACAAGTATGGCTAAATCATGTCCCATTCTAGTCACTGCAGAAGTTACATTTTTCCCACCTGAAACTGCTTATAGGTTTCTACAGACAAGGTGCAATTGTTGATGTAACAAATGTTTTAGAGTGAGAAAAGTAGGCTGACAAGAGTGTTAATCAGAGTTTATCCAGCTGTTCCTTAAAGGGAACATCTGAAGGCTGTAAGTTTGACTTATTTGTAAAACATTTCATTTAAGGTTAGAAAAATCTAGACACAAAGGATTTCTACCCTTTTCTAGTTATGTGACTAGAAGAGTAGCGCTGCTGGGTCTTGTGCTCCTTAACAAGGAGAGTCTGGCTGAAGCGGTAAAGGTTGAGGGCAGCCTTGGCTCTAGGGACTGTGAGATGGTGGAGTTCAGGATCTAATGTGGAAGGAACAGAATACCAAGCAAGATTGCAACCCTGGACTTCAGCAGGGCCAACTTTGGCCTTTTCAAACAATTGCTAGGGGAAACCCCCTGGGACAGGGGATTAGAAGGTAAAAGGGCCCAAGACAGTCAGTTAATATTCAAGGACCACCTCTTCCAAGATTAAGATCAGTGTATCCCAAGAGGTAGGAAATCAAGAAATAGAGCCACGAGACCCGCACGGTTAACCAGGGAGCTGCTGGCCAAACTCAAGTAGAAGAAGAGAGTCTATAGAACATGGAATGAAGGGCTGGCCACTCGGGTGGAATATAAGACTGTGGTCAGAGGATGTAGGGAGACAACTAGGAAAGGTAAGGTCTCCTTGGAATTAAACCTTGCAAGGGAGGTCAAGGACAACAGAAAGGGCTTCTTCAAATACATTGCCGACAAAACTAACACCGGAGGCAATGTAGGCCCTCTGGTGAATGCGGTGGGTACCCTGGAGACAGAGGATACAAAGAAGGCAGAGTTGCTAAATGCCTTCTTTGCCTCTGTCTGTACTGTTTGAGACTATCCTCAGGAGTCCCAGACCCCTGAGGCCCCAGAAGAAGTCAGGACAAAGGAGGAGTTTGCCCTGGTTGATGAGGACTGGGTTAGGGATCAATTAGACAATCTGAACATCCATAAATCCATGGGCCCTGATGGGATGCACCCATGGGTGCTGAAGGAGCTGGCAGAAGTCATTGCTAGGCTGCTCTCCATCATCTTTGGTAAGTTGTGGGGAACAGATGGGGTGCCTGAGGACTGGAGGAAAGCAAATGTCACTCCTATCTTCAAAAAAGGCAAGAAAGGGGACCCAGCTGACTACACAGACTGGTCAGCCTCACCTCCATCCCTGGAAAGGTGATGGAGCAACTTATCCTCGGTTCTGTCTCTAGGCTTGTCAAGGATAAGAGGGCCAATAGGAGCAGTCAGCATGAAGGGGAAGTCATGTTTGACCAACCTGATAGCCGTTTATGAAGATATAACCAGGTGAATAGATAATGGCAGTACAGTGGACGTGGTTTATCGGGATTTCAGTAAAGCACCTGACACCATTTCCCATAGCATCCTCATAGCTAAACTGAGGAAGTGTGGTCTGGATTACTGGGTAGTGAGTAGGTGGGTTGGTTGAAGAGAAGATGTCAGAGAGTTTTGGTCAATGGGGCAGAGTCTAACTGGAGGCCTATGTCTAGTGAAGTCCCTCAAGGGTCAGTGCTGGGGCCAGTGCTGTTCAATATATTCATCAGAGACCTGGATGAGGGATTAGAGAGCACTGTCAGTAAGTTTGCTGACAAAACTGGGAGGAGGGGTTGACACACCAGAAGGCTGTGCTGCCATTCAGCGAGACCTGGACAAGCTGGAGAGTTGGGTGGGGGGAAATTTTATGAAATACAACAAGGGCACGTGTAGAGTTTTGCGTTTGGGAAAGAGCAACTCCATGTGCCACTTTATGTTGGGGACTAACCTGCTAGGAGAGCAGCGTAGGGGAGAGGGACCTGGGGGTTCTAGTGGACAGCAGGATGAACATGAGCCAGCAATGTGCCCTCGTGGCCAAGAAGGCCAATGGCATCCTGGGGTGTATTAGAAGGGGAGTAGCTAGTAGGTCGAGAGAGGTCCTCCTGCCCCTCTACTCTGCCCTGGTGAGGCCACATCTGGAATATTGTGTCCAGTTCTGGGCCCCTCAGCTCAAGAGAGACACGGAACTGCTTGAGAAAGTCCAGTGCAGAGCCACAAAGATGATGAAGGGAGTGGGACATCTCCCTTATGAGGAAAGGCTGAAGGAGTTGGGTCTCTTTAGCTTGGAGGAGACTGAGGGATGAATGTTTATAAGTACGTAAAGGGTGAGTGTCAGGAGGACGGAGCCAGGCTCTTCTCAATGATGTCCAATGACAGGACAAGGGGCAATGGGTGCAAGCTGAAGTTTAGAAGGTTCCACAAAAGCATTAGGAAAAACTTTTTCACTGTGAGGGTGACAGAGCACTGGCACAGGCTGCCCAGGGAGGTTATGGAGTCTCCTTCTCTGGACACAGTCAAACCCCACCTGTACACATTCCTGTGTGACCTCCTGTAGGTGATCCTGCTTTGGCAGGGAGTTGGACTAAATGATCTTTTGAGGTGCCTTCCAACTCCTAACATTCTGTGATTCTGTGATTCAGTTCAGGAATCTCACATTCGTCTTACAGTGCAGAAGAAAATGCCCAAGAAACACTCACAGCAGTTAAGATTGTTATCTTCCTCCAGACATCAATTTTGCCCTTTGCAGAAGGTTATTATACCCAAAGCAGAACTGGTGACTAGATGGAAGCAATCATATCAGTGTTCCCTAATGGACTACAGTGCAGTGTGAGCCAGGCTCAAAGCATATTCAGATTCAGTTCAAGGCATTCAGTTTGCAAGGCAGAACCAATCTGTTCTACAGTGAGCTACCGATGTGGTATCATCAGTGAGTAGCAGTAATACCTTTAACCTTCGCAAATCTGGGAACTGTTGTCCATTCAAATCTTTAAAGATGTTTACAACTCCTATTATATTTTCAAACTTTAGCCAAAGGACTAATATTAAAGTATACCTGAAGCTGGAAGTTTTAACACAGCAGGAGTGGGATACAAAATACTGTAAGGAGAGTTAAGAGCAAACTTTAAACAGAAAACATTTTCGGAACATGCAGAAAAACAATATAATTTAAGAATCTCTGCATGGTTACTTAATAACAAAAACTCTGAACTAATAAATATATACAAGTTTAGTTGTAAAGCATTAAAGAAAAAAAAAAAAAGGAAAGCAGCTAACACTCCTTGTCAGTGTAACACTGATGGACTACTGTGACTTATATTTTACAGACTTCCTTATTCCATGTATCCACTTAGCACTGCTGATCAAACTAAAAGCAAATGTAACAAAATATAAGCAAGATAATTAAACAAACAGTACCTGAAAGCTACAGATTCCAATATAGCTCGTACAAGATGGTTTCTGGTAGTGGAAGGTTTCAGCCCCATGAAAGAGGCACATAAATATGGATCATTCACAGAAACCTGGAGAAAAAAATTCACCATGAATTCGGTGAATTGTATTTGTAAGCTTTTGAGAAAAGAGTCAAATAGTAAGAAAAAAAATAACTTACGACAACTACAGGCAGCATAGTGAAAGAAGAAAATTGAAAACAATATGTAAGAGGTATATAGTGTTATTTTAGCTAACTCGGTGAACAGTTTAAATAGCTTCTTTCAACAGCAAAAGGTTTAAGTGATTTCTTCCAAATTTGACATACTAAATAACACTAATCCAGAAGTCTAAGACAGGACACACCAATACTGCTGTTGTCTAGCAAGATTTCACAAAAATTGTTTGTTTTTAAACACTCCCAAACTGCTGAAAGAAAAACGAACTGACTTTTAAAAGTAACAATTAAAATGATGGTAATAGTTATTATTAGTTTATGCTACAGCCTGTTTTCAGTGACACTGTTAAACATGAGTCCAACTAAAATTCTGATGTCACTCAGTGGTCTTTTTTTGCAGGAGAACTAGAGGACTGACTGATCAATTTCCTCTCCAGCTCTCCACTCCTCTGATGAACTTTATTACAAAATATTAGCTTTCTGGTCCATTTATCATTTTGCCAAAGTTCCTACATAGAAGAAATTTTTGTACTGAAGTAAAATAATTATTCCTCCCGCCAATATACAAGTACCCTTCCAATATTAAGAATGGAACAACTCCAGCATAGACTCATATTCTACAGAAAGTGAGTATCTTGAAAGAATCAATTACTAAAAAACCCACCCTGTTTCTAGCAGAATCAATAAAAGGAAAAATGATTAATGCACATATGCACTCAATTTCAAAAGCACTTTCATAACAATGATCCTCTCAGTGTGCTGCATGACAGCACTAGAATCCAGTAAGAAAGAAACTTGTTTTCTTGTGTTAATATAGATGAATATAGAAACATTTCACTCTGTGTAGGAAATGAACATATGAGCTTCGTAAGAACCCTCCCTAACCACTACATTCTGAGGTCTAGGAAACACTGTAATGGAATCAATTTGTGTTAGCATCTAGCCAGTGAAGCTTAACAGATGTGTTACAATCCCAGAAGCATTCCAATTCTATTAATGTCCTTTTTCATACCATTTAAGCCTCTCAGTTTCTGTTACCATGAGTCTACTAGCTAAGGATGGTCCACTGAAATAAGCAGGGCTTTTAAAAGGCAAAGAAATCCACAGTGGTGCATACTATTAGTGGTTACTAGGTGTCACAGTTAAAGAGAAATCCATGCAGTTTTCTAAGTACAGCTTCTGTATTTGGATTGGGAATATCAGAATCAGGGAAAAAGAGACTGAATCAGTGTTTATGAAGAAGGTAGCTGTGGTTCCTTCTGGAGACAGTGTCAAGAAATGAAGGGGGAGAAAAACCTGCAAAGCAAATAAAAAACTGCATCAACATATCTGAACTTGAATACTAATAGAATTAAAGGTTAAAAAAAGATTCAGACTAACATTTGTCTACCTCACAATTCCTGCCTGCAAATAATGGAATGTGGCATGGGTCAACACTTGGTTATTCAAAGCCCAATTACTCGTAGTAAATGATAAATGGAAGTATCTTAGCACAATCAAGCACTATAACCGTAAAAATAAATCTAATGATTGGGGTAGCTGTTTGAGATAAGGTAGCTGGGCTATCTGCAGAAATCTGCAGAAGAAAATCTTCTTTGCCCTGTTCCATTAAAACATGGGACATTCCTCAGAAAAAAAGGAACTTTCAGAAACACCTGGAAGAGATGAGATGGTATACATTCAAACCAATAAATTACTAAGATACCTAAGAGAAAAGTCTACCCTACTCAGTTTAGTCATTACCAGGACAAGTATCTAAATATTACTATCTTTACTTTTCGTAACACCACAACTTGCAGTCTTGCTCATATTTAAGTACATGTAAATATCCTGATGAATTGCAACCTACATATTGAAGAAAGGCAGAATAAAATGAATTATGCTTAAAAGTATTGTCACAATGAAGGCTCTGCATGAGGCAGAAAAGGTATGAGATCAGTTTCTGTCTTGGCAGGCACTGCCTGAGTTACTGCGGGCAAGCAATTTACTTTATCCATCCCTCAGGTTTCCATCTGCAAAATGAAAGTAATTTTCCTGTTTGGTGGGGTTTTTCTTATGGGGGGTTGTTTTTAAGTATTCTGATATGACGGTAATCTTCATACACTGTGGTGAGGGAGAGACAATAAGAACATGAGTAGTACAAAATAAATACTGTGATAAGACGTAAATTATTACATTTAGTCATGCAAAAGTTAAAATTGAGCTGGGTTATTAAAAACATATTCTCAATTATTTTAATAAGAATATTTATACCTGAAAACCTGGAACAAAACAAACACCTTGAGAATCAACAATACTCCGTGCCATCTTTGCTGTTTCATCTACATTGGTGAAAAGATCTGTAAAGATACGTAAGCCATATGCTTTTATTATTTACTTCAATCTGTTCAGGTATTGCTAAGAGAAAAAAATCTAGAGTTAGACTACTTCTTTTTGTAATATTCTCAAACTACATGTTCTAAGGGAAATGATAACTTCTCTTGCATTTCATATATATCAGTCACATTAAAATAGACCCAAACCCTATTCAGATGAAGACTAAGCTCAAAAGGATCCTTTCATATCTCAGAAATGTTATCTTCTCAAAAGATGCTGTTATCTTCAGCCCAAGCACCAAATCACTAGAAAGTCCTTAATATGTATTACATTTTATCAGGATCCTTAATATTTTTACAAGTGTCTGACATACAAAGGAGGCCCTAACATCACCTCTTTGACAGACACCACTTTTATTCCATGTCTAGCCAGACATCTCCTTTCACAATTTGATAGACACCTCTCTTTAGTTTGTTATTCACTCACATGCAATTCTTGTACTAACACCCAGCTTCTGTAGTTTTAACTAATAAAGTCATTATATAGCCATATAATATGTTTTTACAGAAGACTAGAGGTCTGCTGTAAATAAGAGCTATTGCTTCTTCTTCTCTAAAAAATAAATTCTCCTATCAAAGGTAGATTAGGTTAATCTATCATGGAATCATAGAATGATTTAGGTTGGAATGGATCTCAAAGTTCCTCTAGTTCCAAGCCCCTGCCATGGCAGGGACATCTCGCACTAGATCAGGTTGCTCAAGGCTCCGTCTAACCTGGCCTTAAACACTTCCAGGGACGGAGCATCCACAACTTCTCTTGGCAACCTGTTCCAGTGCCTCACCACCCTCAGGGTAAAGAATTTCTTCCTTCTTGTCTAAACTTAAGACTCTTCCAGCTTACACCCCTTTTCCTATCACTACAGGCCCTTGTAAAAAGTCCCTCCCCAGCCTTCTTGTAGCTCTTTTCAGGTACTGGCAGGCCGCTATAAGGTCTCCCCAGAGCCTTCTCTTCTCCAGGCTGAACAAGCCTAACTCTCTCAGCCTGTCCTCACAGGAGACGTGCTCCAGCCCTCTGATCATCTTGGTAGCCTTCCTCTGGACTCACTCCAGCAGCTACATGTCTTTCTTGTGTTGGGGGCTCCAGAGATAATCTAGCTCAATTTGTCTTGAAAAACTCGTAACATACTAGGAGTTTTAATTTACCTCTGCAACCTCCATTAATTTGTTTGATAGCTTTGGATTCTACTGTGCCTCAACTAATAAGCCTAAATCACAACTTTTCTTTCTTGTTGTATTTGCTACTATTGAACTCCTATGCCAGGAGAGAAAATGAAAAAAAAATAAGTAAGATCAACTTCACCTTGAAATCACACATGCTACTTTTCCAAAATTCTTAAAAGTGATCTGATCCCACTAAAAGAAGCCCATCAAACTATTTGTCTTGCTGCAGAAATCCCTAATTCCAAACCTTTACCACTATTATATGTATCATCATCATCCGCATTGAGCCTCTCTATCCTTACTGAGGTCGTTAGCTTACCTTGTGTTTTGGCCCAATTCTTTCTGTACAGTGAAAGTTTTACCTTTCTCTTTATTCGTAGAAGTGATTAAAGTTTCTGAATTCTGCTTCTCTGCAATTGTATTTCCACAAAATAAAGGTCTTACTTATTAGAGAGTTGAAAGCAGCATGCTTATTTTTATCTCCCTCTAAAACTTTCACAGTTTTTGCCTGTGGTAACAGCTGTAGGTCATGTCCATTTTACCGGCTAACTAAAAATCCTTTACACTTTACACATTTTAAGTACAGGGAAGTTCCATATGACTAAGTATCCATTTTAAGTATGGAATTTGAAGTAGTAAGCTTATATATCTACCACTGATCCTTCATAGAACCATAGAATAGTTTGAGTTGGAAGGGATCTTTAAGTTCATCTTGCTCCAATTCCCCTGCCATGGGCAGGGACACCTCCCCCTAGACCAGGTTGCTCAAAGCCCCACATACTTATATCTGCAACACTGACCTGTATATCAAGTAATCCCTCAAAAGACTAGTGGCTGTTATTCTCTAGGCTTAGTTAAAAACTGAATGATGAAGACCTCAGGACCAATTTGAGTCATACTTAATCTTTAAGTGCACATACTTGACCATGTATATGCACATACACACTGTAAGTTGACTACTTAAATTTGGAATTTTGTGGTGAGCTACACTTCAGGAAAACCATTCCCAGATAACCCAAAGTTTGAGCCACTAATTCCTTTTTTGTATCCTTGTAAAAGTGTACTAAATTTCTAAGTAAACTAAGTAAACAGTTTATTAGAATGCTCAGAATGGTTGTCCTATAAATAATCAGTCGTTTTGAAGATCGGTTACTCTAGAGCTTTATTTTTATTAAGTCTTGTGTTGAACTGGAATGCAAATCTTTCCATTATGCAATAGTCACAGCCAAAAGGCACATTATTTCTATGTGAAGCAATATATGCAAGTTCCTTTAAAAAATACAGTCCTTCAGATTATTTTCATATAACTGTTATTAATTCTGAGATGTACAGCTAGAGATCTCTCAAAAACAGTGTAAATGCAGTGCAATACTGCATTTACAATCATGCTACCTAGAAGTAAGAGGCAGTCAATTTCTGTGCTTCTCCTCAACTAGAAGTTCAAGTTCAAATACGCTTGAACAGCACACATCTAACTTCAGACAGGTCTCCTTTACACTGTTTCTATTCAAGTCTGGATACCAGTGGCATCAGGACGTTTGTCATGCTCAAGAGAAATCAAGTGAGGAGTCAACGCTTCAGGAAAATAAAAGCCTACATCGGTCAGAAGGTAGAGTCTGAAAAGGAGATGATTGTGCAGACCAAACTTGCTGCAGTAAACGTACTCAGCAGAGAACTTACTAATGATACTGTGTATTTTCCGCTGTCCAAACCAGGTAGGCTAGTTTTTTCAACTATGGATAATAAACCTCAGCCCAGTAACATAACTATTTCTTAAGTAGTAATATAATTTATCCTCTATAAAATTAAAAAAAACCTACTTACTTATATCCTGAGCCCATTTTATGGCAGTGCCAACGTCTGACATACAGCCTTCAGTTAGGTAAACAACTTCTTCCCCAATCTTCCAACCAATCAGTGGATACAGTTCTTATTTTCCATGAAACAAAACAAAGCACCTAGTTAATTTACATTAAATGTTTCCAGAAAAACATATACAAGCACTCTCCACAATAAACCCAATTGAAAAAAAATAGTTTTTATTAAATTCCTTTGCAGAAATCAAGCTAAAAAAAAGTCACTGATAGACGTTAAATGTATTGTTTAAAAATTTAGTGATGGGATTACAAGAGACTCAAACAACAGTTTGTTAAACCAAAGTTAACCTAAAAAACCCAAACACACATCACTACCAAATCACAAAAATCCCCCCACTTTAAGCTAAAAAGAAGAGCTATCAGCACTTACTTTTTTTTGGTAATATGATAAGAGATTGTATATACTTAAAAATTTATCTGTATTTTCCTATTTGTTTTACATCTATCTCGTTTTCCCCAATGGTTTCTAGAAGTTAAAATTTACTTCCCTAAAACATTAAACATGAAGGCTGGGCGGGTGGGAAGTACAAACACTAAACCAGACATCTGTACACACACAAAACAAGCAACACAAACTTAGAACATAGGTCTTATTCACAGAAGAGGATGGAAGTGATATGAATTATTCCTCAATATGCAATGCCTCCTCACATAAACAGCAAAAAATAAAAAAGTTTCACGATTTGCCTGTCTTTGTCCAGTTAATTACAGCATTTTACCTGTAAGTTTGCCTAATATAAACAACACAAGAAACACCCAAACTCATTAAAAATAACTGCTGACAGATATACTTTGTCTATAACCACAAAAGATGGAACACTTCTATAACTTATGGCTTACATGATGGGATTTGCAGGAAGATATGATTTCCAAATATTTCTGGCTTTGCAGTGACTAAAAAAAAGTAAATCTATGACTTCGATTTTTTTTTTTCCTTTTTTCTCAGAAGAAAGGTGGAAATAATTGGGCAAACTGCCAGTTTATATGAAAAACCAGTATAGCATCATTCAGAGAGCTGTCTGCTTGAAGGTACTATTACATTAGAAATAAACAGCCAATAATGAGGATAAACCTGACTATTTGTTCTCCCCTTTGCTCCCCCACAGGTATGCTGAAACCTTCACAACACAAAGGGGACATACTACTTAAAACTGTCGGTGTGAACAAAAAAACCTTCTTGTTTGATATTTGTATTAATAATAACACAGCATGAAAGTACTACAGAGCACTGCTTTTAATGCTAAAGCAAAAGGACTTTGACTCTGTTATCTAGATGACCAGCAGATGTTCTCCTGCACTACAGCTGGACAAACGATTTTTGGATCACTTGACAAGAACCTAAGCATTCAGTGGCCAACAAAAACTTCACCCAAGCCAAATACAGTAACTCTTGGACTCGGTGTGGGTTAGATGAGTGGACAGTGAGGTGGATGGAGAGCTGACTGACTGACAGAGCTCAGAGGGTCGTGATCAATGGTGTGGGGTCGAGTTGGAGGCCTTTAACCAGCAGTGTTCCCCAGGGGCCAGTACTGGGTCAGATCTTATTCAACATATTCATCAGCGACCTAGACCAGGGGACAGAGCATATTCTCAGAAAGTTTGCTGATGATACAAAACTGAGAGGTGTGACTGACACACCAGAGGGCTGTGCTGTCATCCAGTGTGACCTGGACAGGCTGGAGAGTTGGGCAGAGAGGAACTGAATGAGGTTCAACAAAGGCGAATGCAGGGTCCTGTACCTGAGGAGGAACCACTCCATACATTAGTATAGACCAGGAATAGACCTGCTGGAAGGTAGCCCTGAGGAGAAGGAGCATGGAGTCCTGGTAGACAGTAAGTTAACCATGAGCCAGCAACGTGCCCTTCTTGCCAAGAAGGCCAGTGATATCCTGGCCTGCATTAAGATGAGTGTGGCCAGTAGCTCAAGAGGGGTCATCCTCCCCCTCTATTCTGCCCTGGTGAGGCCACATCTGGAATACTGTGTCCAGTTCTGGGCTCCTGAGTTCAAGAGGGACAGGGAACTGCTGGAGAGAGCCCAGCGGAGGGCAACAAAGATGACTCGGGGGCTGGAGCATCTCTCTTACGAGTAAAGGCTGAGAGAGCTGGGACTGTTTAGCCTGGAGAAAAGACTGGGAGGAGACCTTATCAATTTATATAAATATCTAAAGGGTGAGTGCAAGAACATGAAGCCAGACTCTTTTCAGTATTGCCCAGTGGTAGGACAAGAGGCAATGGGCACAAGCTCGAACACAGGAATTTCCATCTAAATATAGGGAAAAAATTTCTTTGCTGTGAGGATGACAAAGTACTGGAACAGGCTGCCCAGAGAGGCTGTGTAGGCTCCTTCTCTGGAGATAATTCAAAACCCACCTGGATGCAATCCTGTATAATGTGCTCTAGGCAACACCGCTTTCGCACAGGGGTTGGACTAGATCATCTCTGAGGTCCTTTCCAACTCTGACCATTCTGCAATTCTGTGACTGAAGAAAGTACCCAGTCTTTATGAGAGCCTGCTCAGAACTCAAGAGATCATGGGTAATGCAACAAAGCTAAACGAGTCCCAATAACGAAAGGACCAGAAAAGCAGCAGAAGGGTTAGGGATTCTCTCTGCTTTCTCAAGGTGACTTTGCTGATATACAAGTCTGCCTCAGAGAATCATCTCCAGTTTGCTTGCCTGTGTCTAGAAGAGTGATATGGTAGTACTAGTGGAATTGCAGAAACTTGGTTAGTGCTGGAGGCACTCAGGTGCTTACAACAGAAAACAATCAGCAGCATCTATTTAGATCAAAGTTTGTATTTGTCTCCTGAAAGGAAAAAGTGATACACATATCTCCATATCATTGGTTCAGGTCCCCCTTACAATCTTTATTTTCTACCAAAGGTGAAGTTGCAGAGACATAAGACCAAACAATACACTAAGCCAGAATTCCTAGTTGAGGACAGCTAATTAGGGATAGAGAAGCTTGTCAGGTGGCTTTCCTAAAGACGCCCACAACAGAGTATCTGGTAGTGTAACATAATCTACCTCTAGGGCATGGATCAACATGACACTTGGCATGATCAGAATTAGGAAGAACTATTAGACTTCTGAAGAGACGTTTTAAACATATACAACATGCTTCCACTATTGAATTGTGAGAAGTGCTCGTCTTGAAGGAACTATTTTTTTTTAAACTGTCATATATAGCAACTAAATGTAGACCAGAAACTAGAACAGCAGCTAATGAATAGCTCACACAAGGATGCTGAAAGGATCCATCTTGCAGTCTTAATTACATATGTCAACTTTAAACACTGAACATACTACATTTCATGCTCAGGGCACCAAGAAAGCTAGATACTTAACCTGTCCTACTAACCATACCACAACAGCCAAAGAACACAGGGGAAATAATTTTAACAGATGTAAGAGTCTAAAGCAGTAAAGATTTCACAGCACTGCCTTAAAGATTTCAACTGTAACAGATCATAACAGTGAAGTATGTTCTCAAAAGAAAACAACATGGAAAAAACCTTACAGCATGTTTTTGCTACTACATTTCCACAGGCTACATACATATAATTCTCTAAGTGAAGTATCATCATAATGACCTTGTTAGCCTAAAAAGCATTTGAATTCAGAGGGAATTCAATGCCTACGTTACTCGGTATTTGTCATGGTCCTTCCGGATTGTAGCTGCTAGAAGTCTCCCTTAGCACACTGCTGTCCTCCTCCCCAGCCCCACCCTCCCATTTTAAACTGTAGGCTTCCCAAAATTAGTAACTCTTCAGAAATATGACAGAGAGAGAGATATTATACATGTGAATTTACTTCAGTATTGCCTGTGGCTCTCTTGAGAAATAGCCATCTATGGCAAATTAACAAGCTTGACAGAAAAATACTGGGGAGCCCATGTCCAGTTTATTAAAAGAAAACTAATAATTGTTAATCCTGCATTATCTCAGTTCAGGTACTTCAAAGCAAGAGAGGGAACTCACAGAGATCCACTGGAGCATTCTTGTATGGTATAATACTGTTACCAAGAAGAACAGGTGAAGGGAAACAAAAACAAAGGAGGTATACAGGTAGCAGACATAATTACTAGTGATATTACTTAAATTCTCTTCTTGAGAAGCATATTTCAGTATAACCAACATCTGTATTTCTAATAAATACTTCCACAGCCATCTTTTCTGAAAACACTTCCAATCTGGTTTCCTACAGCTAAAGACAGAAGGAAAAGCATATCCTTATTTTATCCCTTTTTGTACCCTCATCAACAATAGCTGTCAAGTAATGTGAAAGACTCTATATCTTACCTCTCTGTGATGCAAAGAGATGCTCTCCAGTATTCACATTCCAGAAACCACCTGTTCCCATTGTCAGTTTAACATCTCCTGGCTGAAAGCAGCATTCTCCAAACATAGCTGACTGCTGATCAGCTACCTGCCACACCAACAAAAACAACAGGACAAGTTAGCTACCAGTTATGAACCTAAGATGCCGCTGGATTTTAAAATACCATTACAAACACTTTGGAGTTCTGAATACAAATCACCATTCAGAGAGGAACTGAGAATTAAAAGAGAGCCTGTATACACCTTCTAGAGCTTTTGCAGGCCATGCCAACAGTCCGCTTTATCACTAGAATCAAATTACACCAGGGTTGGACACAACATGAACACCTGTAGTACTGCTTGCAACACTGAAAAATATGCTATGGAAACTAAGAAATATTTTATGGTTTAGTTTTTGACAAGGATAAATGGAACATCTGCAATCCCAGGGAGCAGAACAGAGTAGCTTGGCTTAAATTCCTCTTCCCCCAAATAGAAATCTGAAGTTTTGAGGTCCCACTTTTCTTTTTCCCTGCCCTTCCTGTACCAAATTATTCCATGCTCAATTTTTCAGCAATAATGATGGTAATTAAATGTATTTACTTATGTTTGTACCTTGGTGAAACAGTAAATTTGCAGACAAATGGAGTCTACGATTCTTTAAAAATAGCAGGAGAAACTCAAGTTAGCTAGTGACATTTTTTCCATTTAGCTCAACTCAAGCAAATATTTCTAGAAGTCATCACTTCATAAAAATAGTAATTTTTCTGATCCAGATCTTAACTACTGAGGCAAGACAATGTTATTTGCCATTTATTTTTAGTGCAAAAAAAAGAAATAAAAGGTACTACAAGTGGATTTTTGCCCAGAGAAGTTTTGGATGTCCCCTCCCTGGAGATGCTGAAGGCCAGGCTGGATGGAGCTCTGGGCAACCTGCTCTAGTGGAAGGTGTCCCTGCCCACAGTAGGGAAGCTGGATTAGATGACCTCTAAGGTCCCTTCCAACCTAAGCCATTCTATGACCTATAAACAAATACTCTTACATTTGTCAAGCCCCACTCTTACGTGAGGTCAAGCCCCAATCGACCCCACTGCACAAGTTTATATAGAACAACTGATATTAAGCCAGAGTTTAGAGTAGAACTCAGCTCTGTTAAGTCCCACATTCAGTACTTAACCATTTGGTCATCTAACCGTAACAGATCTCAACCTCTACAATTCCCGTCCTGCTCCTATCTCCTCCAACCAATTCTATCTGTAGTTAAGTCATAGAGAAGGAATAGAGAAGACTTACTTGTTTAATAAGTATTAAATCAAAGCTGGATAAAAAAGAATATAGGTACAAATATATAGATTTAAATAAGAAAACTTACCACTGCCATTATTGGAATAGATACCCCAAATATTTCAGAATCAGATGATCCGAAGCTGAAGCTTAAAACAAGTGTTACGGGAAAACATCAGAATGCTAAATTGACCTTTTTGTTAAAACAAAATCTATACACACATGGCCTGGGTCTTCATCACATATGAAAGGTAATGCTACAGATTTATTTTAAAGAAAGCATTAGAACTGTCAGTAAAAATAATGTTTTGCATGCAGTGTAAAAAAAGTACATCTGCATATAAAAATATTTTTTTCCATATCTATATATTACTTTGCCTGTGCAGATTATATAGTATTTTTCAAAAGGTAATTAATGAAACAGTTATAAACTTTTGACTATGTCTTCATGATTACCTTGTGTCTTTCACTGGTGGATAAATAGACATCGGAATGGAAAGCAAATTACACAAAGTGGGGTTCCAACATTTCTGAAATAATACAGAAAATATAAAAATGTAAGTAACTCTCTGAAGCACCATAAACAACTTTTTTTGGAACAGCACATACCGTAAAGGGTTCAAAAACACCTGTAGCACTGGCATTTGAGTAATCTGTAGCATACACAGAACCTACCATAAAAAACAAGAACAAAGTAAGATTTTAGATATTCAAATATTTGAGTGATTTTCAACATGCATTTTCTTAAAACATCTCTGTGGTTCCATGAATTATAAACTGAGCATCTAAATACAAAGTCATGTTGATACAACGAGCACACAGGCTTTACCTGCCACTCACTATAATGTTTATATATTAATTACCCTTACAAAACTGGCTAGAGGAGAGCCAGTACTTTCTGCATATACCCCACTGACTACATCACTGCCTAACATAACCTGTCCAATTGCTGAGGCATTAGCCCTCAGAACAGAAACATGTAATTCTTCCACATTTGTAACCACCTTTTGCTCTTTTGCTTTCACAGGTACTTTTATTCAATTAAGGCAAATTAGTTCTAGTAGTCCTCTTCAGATATTAAATGCCTAAAAGGTTGACTACACTGAACAATTATGTTCCTTTTCTGATTACCTTTCCAGACAGGCCCAAAGAATAATTAATTCAAATGTAATTTTTTTAAAACAGTAAATATATTACAAGATTAATCAATCATAAAAAAGCACAAATTGCAAAAAAAAAGTCATTTAATTTTGTATCAGTGACAATCATGAACATCATTACTTAGATTCCAGTATGCTTTATTAGTAGTTAAGAGGAAACATAACATTCACCTTTAGTCAATCTATACACTAACCACGTGTCGACTGTTCCAAAGCAGCAGTTTTTTTTTTTGGCAGCTTCTTCAGCCTGGGAACAAATACACATACAATAAAGAAGTATTTACAACTGGGTACAATACAGAGGTACGTATTTCCTGACTTCTTTTCACATTTTCTTTGTGGTTAATGACAGCGTCCCCCAAAAGTAAGTCTCTGATCACCAGTTTTTCTTCTAAAAAGGGTCAGTTTGCTATATAAGTAATATTATTCTACAGTTCACGCTCCTAACAAGAGAATAAGCACAGTTCCTTACAACTGCTGCTAAGGAAAGAAAAGCAACTAACCTTCTGTAGTGATATCAGACCCTTAAGAAAGGAAACTTTATAGTCACAATTTTAACAGTGGTGAAGGGGTGGTGAATAAAGAACACAAGCTCCTGCACACAACACTTAAAAAAAAAAGTAATAGAAGTACAAGTAATAAGTGCATTTTAAAGTATATGTTTGACAACAATGAAGACGGAGCCATTGTTTTCAGTTTACAGTGTCTGTGAATAGTTCAAAATATTATTTTCACTGGGATCTTTTTCACCTTTAAAATGGGAAAATCATCTAATTTCCATTAACTGATAATGTGTACAACTACAGAATTAATAGAAAGAATATACAAAGTAATTCACTCAAAATGCAACTGAATGCATTATTCTCTGTAATTAAGAGCCACAAATTTTTGAGCTTCTTGGTTTGACAGTCACATTTTAAGTATCAGTGCCTAACAAAACGTGAGGACATTCATCTCACACTGAAAACTCAGCAGCTACATAACCTTCAATTCTATAATCCTCCAGATTCACACCTCATTTTCAACAGGTACAACTAAAACACGCCAGTAAAAAAATTATACTTGATCTTCTCAGTAGTTAGCTCACTAACAGAAAATACTAGACAAAACTCAAAAAATTTCAGGGTTTCTTTATATAGGGTAGAAAATGGATGGTAACATTTTCTTCAAAAGTGACTTGAAAATAAACACACAACATAGAATAAAGTTATAAATAAAATGGAAGGAAACACAGAAAATAATAAGGACTAGAGCAATAAATACAGCAACAAATAGCTCAGTGCTCATTAGTCCATTCGATTATTCCAGCACAACTACACTACAACAAAATGCAAAATGAATTGTGGTGTTTGATTGGCCAGTATGATATTATTAGTGAAATCATAAACACTGGAATAACACAGAGTAAAAAGATAAGAGTGTCAGCTGAAAATAAACACAAGTGTCACACAAAACTAGAGTAAAAACAACTTTAAAACAAAGTACAAAATATTATATCAAGGGAAATAAGGTTACTTGACTACGCTTCTTATGCATGAAGAAAATTTTTTACTACTATATATTTCAAGAATTAGAGGAAAAAGTTGCATAAATATTTAAGTAGCCAGCTTTGATTGTTAACATAGTTAAAAGTCTTTCATTCTGGTTCTTTTGAGGAGAAGAACGAGCACGACAAAACTTACGCAGTTACAGCCAACCTAAGTCACCAGCCATTACTATGACTTAAGAAAGTTATTATTTTTCCCTTTTCAGCTTACCTCATGGATGTTTTTAAAAACCCATGACAACTTCATAGAAGTTTGCTGTGTTGAAAAAGTAAGAAAACTTGGTGCCAAATATCGATCATTCCCAGTCAAGAAATGAAGCACCGTAAAAATAACATGGATTACCTGTTTCAAAAGAAAACAGTTACTTAATCTTTAATCTCTCCCTTTAAAAGTTTCTAATCAATTATTTTAAAGGATGACAACACAGATTAAAGCTCCTGACATTAGATTCAGAAAGCTAAAATTCTGTTATAGAATCCTTACATAGGGTTCCAACAGAGAGCCTTCCCACAACAAATACCACAGGAAAAAGCAGTTGCACTAAGCAAGTCTGTTCTACTGACTTCTGCTGACACCTTGAGAGAGACTACTCTGCATTACAAAGATGTCACCTATATAGGCACAATGCATGATGTGGCTGCCAGCATTACATACTGTTATTTCAGTGACAGTTCTCCTACAGCAGAGAGGCTCAATCATGTTTTTATAGCTTAAGCAAAATTTAATCATTAACAAGTTTACATTTGCAAAAGAAGTCAGTGGCAAAACCAAGAATTTAACTTCTTAAGGGGAGAATGCTAGTTAGTTTCCACTTAAAAGGAAATCTTTCTCTTCTAAAGCACAAGCCAAAGGCAGCATAAAACACACCTTCTATAGATCATCTAAGCAAAGAGTACATTAAAAACCCATCAAACAAAACCCCCAGCACACTGAAAACCAAGAACTACCTACATCCAAAAATTATGCTGTAGCAGTGTTAACATGCAACATTTTAATACAACAGAGAGACTAAAAAGTAAGAAAATGCCTGCTAGACCTACAGCTACCTTTTCCCTAAATTACCTTCAGCCTATCAGCATGCATATTTTCTTGGTACTATCTTCCAGACTACTCTTACTAACTTAAATGCTTTTAGGCCACAGTATATCCTATTAACAGAAGACTTGCATTATTTCATAGATTGACATTACTCTTCATAAAAATTAAACAAGTTCTAGTATGTCCAAGCTGTATGTACCTTAGCATAGCTTTACCTTTAGCAGAAGGGACTTATTCCAGGAATTCACAAGCTCAGCACTTCTTAAGTCTTGCCAACTTATGAAATTATGAAAAGGTTTCCCTGTCCTCCTGAAAAACAGTATTTGAACATTCCTATTTAAAACTACAGAACATCATTGCCCCAAAAATGCAAAATTATTCACTATTTCCAATCAGGACACTTCACACTAGGTCAGTTCCTAAAAAAAGTGCACATCCTCGTGGTGGATTTGAGCATTAGTAAAAGGTATGCTGACATTCTGCATGTGAGACTTCTCACCAGAATTACAAAATACTTACGTATTCATCTCTTCCAAAGTACTAAGAATAAAACAAAAATGAACATACACTTATCAGCTGAACTGCTGTAAGGTGTGGCTGTACAAACACAAGAGAACATGAGTGACTAACATTTGTTGCTTTTAGGTTGTGATTTGAATGAGTTCAACATTTCTATAGTCTGCTTCCATCCAGTCTATGAATACAAATTAATAAAAGTTCATTTTATATAACACACAATATACATACTTGTGCCACGTAATGAAAGTTGCTCTCTGTGTTGAGATGCCAAGACCAGCAACTTGCCTCATGTGAAGTCCTGCAGCTAAAAAACAAGAACAAACCACACCAAAAAAAGTATTTATTTGAAGAAACAAACAAAAGTACAACTTTTCTAATATAACTAAAACCTATGAAATACTTAGGAAATTAGTAAATTAAAAGAATATAAATCTTTACAGACTGCCCAATGACATGACTAGAGCAGTCGAATACTAGAGAACTCCTGAGTCAGACGATTGGTCCCAAAGCAGGTAAATAAATCTATGTATTTCACAAAAGCAGTGTGGCACACTGACCCTTTCCACCTTTTGAAAGACTTGCTGACGCTACTTGAACAATCCCAGACAAAGACAGGCAGGTTACATACGCCCATATAATCAATTGCAATATGCATTTCACATGGATGAATGTAAATTAAAGCAAATAGAGGAAGTACCTCTACAAACTTATGGAAAGAAATCCCATAAAGAAACAAAACTAGACTGACTGAGTAAGCAGTAAAGAAATTAATATCAACATTCAGTACAAGGGTGGCAAGACTCTGGACTAGATTGCCCAGAGAGGCTGTGGGTTCTCCCTCCCTGGAGGGGTTCAAGGCCAGGCTGGACGGAGCCTGGAGCAGCCTGGTCTAGTTGAGAGGCGTCCCTGCCCATGACAGGGAGGTTGGATTAGATGATCTTTAAAGTCCCTTCCAACTTAAGACATTCTATTATTCTAAGATTTTTCACATCACTTTGATAATGACATGACTCACTTTAAATACTCAAGCAATCTTTCAAAATTCTTAAGAACAAATTTGTTTAAACCATGTATCACTGAATGCAATAAACTGTACTTGAAATTCATAAGTATAAAAATGTACATTTAAGTATACACCTTACCTTCATATAATTGTTTCAGAATATTTTTCTAATATAACCGTAAATAATTAAATATGTTCACAGCCAATTTCAAAGCAGCTCTAGTCAGCTTCCCAAGTACATTGACATGTACTTCCGAAAGCAAAATTATGTGAAAAAATTATAGATTAAGAAATTCCACTAAAATAACAGACTACTTGTTTTGTCTAAAGCACTGTTACTGTGAAGGGCTCTCAGTTCCACTGCCTGAACAAATCACAGGTTAAGTATGCCCTCCTCATACATGTTCTTATGTTAACTTTCATGTGCAAAGTTACACATTTGAGTAACCATATACTGTAAACTCTAAAATCCAGAGCCTCTAAGTGACAATTACAGAAGGAGTTTCATAGAGGAAGGACATGTCTTGCTCTGCCAACCGCTATATGTGCTTCTGCACCTTTCCTTATACTGGTGTCTGCCTTCACGGAGGCAGTGGTATCAAGGCCCTCAACCAGCTGAAAATTAAATCAGTGCTTTCACATGACTACCTGCTCCAATAGCCTGTATACATGCTGCTGGTGGTGCAAGTGTACAGGAGGAGGATCTGAGAGTGTGTGGCTGGAGAACAGCAGTATTTCTATTTCAGGAGCAGCTGGATCTAAACTGAAGGCAAAGACACACCAATACTACCACAGTTCATTACAGATATTTTTCAGCTAAACTTCTGGAAGGGTTGAAATGGTACCAGAGAGAGCGAGAAGGGTGGGACCAGGCAGCTAGGAGTTTCCACCTTTAATCAGTACTGAACTGATATAGCTCATCCACCCACGCAGGGAATCACATGTTTCAGCTTCACGAGGCCTTGTAAACTGAGGTGTTCCTATGCTGCTGGCACCACACCCTCGCTTGCGCTGGCAGAAACACTGATGAAGCTCTACTAGCATAAACAACCGCACCGTGATTAGTCTCAGGAAACTGCTCTGGACTTGAAATAATCCTGCAAAAAAGCAGGGTGGGACTGTTTCATTTGAAGGCCGTGTGGGCTTATGCTCACTTATATTACACAACTACTTAAAAATGATTTGCTAACAGTATGATCAACTTGGCCACAAGAAGAGCTTCCTTTTTTATAACTAGATGAAAAATCTTGCTTTCTAATTTGCCCAACAGAATGGAAGTGGAAGAAGCTAATGAAGTCTTTAAAGGTTGAAGTGGCATTATCATTCTTGTGACAGAACAGTTGTGGCTCCTAAGAAAACAGACCAAGAGCCCAAGATAATCAGCTGCAGCTTACACCCGGTAATGGTAACTTTCCCTGTCCCCTCGACTGCCTTCCAAAGGAAGAGAGAAGAACAGTTTTGCCTTGAGCCAGGCTTGGAGGCAGGGCAACACATGGAGACCAAAGTGCAAGAGGAGCTGAACAGCAGGAACTTTAGGCACTGAATGAAAGAGTACGATGCACACACACAAGACAAGAAGGCTGGGGCACCATGCAAAAGTGAGCTGGGGACAGCTGACAGATCAACATAGCATCAGCATATCACAGAAGGATCAGGGGGCCGGTTAACTCAGTGGTTTGAGCACGGTGCTGGCAACAAGGACCAACACCGAGGTTGCGGGTTCGATTCCCGCTCGGTCCCCATGTGTTGCCAGGTCTAGTCGAGAGGTGGCGTCCCTGCCCAAAACAGGGAGGTTGGACTAGATGATCTCTAAGGTCCCTTCCAGCCTAGGCCATTTTATGATTCTATGATCACAGAATGCTATAGATGGTATACCATATACAGATGGCATACCATCATGGGAAAGCTGTGAGAGTTATAGAGTAAGAACATGGTTAGACCAGCATCTAGAAATGGGTGAAAAATGCCATCAGAAGTTTAGCAGAAAAAGGAATTTAGTGTGTTTAGTGCGTGGAGTACTAGGAAATTCTAGGCTAAAGTACAAACAGGAAAGAATGATAAAACAGAAAGCAGATGGCAAAAAATTATTTTGAATGGGAAAAGTATGAATATCACATTGTAATTTAGCAAGCAAAACTATGCAGCATCCTGCTTTCATTCTCTCATACACTTACACTCACACAGAGCAGCAATTGGAAGGGTAAACAAGCCTACTCTGTTTGTATACAAAGGCATCTAGAGGAAGGAAGACAGACACTGGAGAAGAATACATATACAAAAAGCTGGGACAACAAGGTGCTTTCACTGACATGTAAACTGAGTGTGCATAGTGCTTCTGTTTCGACTTCAATCCTAATCTGGCCCACTAAAAGAAAAAAGTAAGCCAAGTGTACTATTTTACATAATGATTGAATAGGTCTTGTAGGCCTGTGCACAGTGATGAATCTTCAGTACTTAAAAAAAAAATTTTTGTTATCTAATTAACTAATTTTACTCATTTTGAGTAACTAATTAACTTCTTAAACTGTATAAGCCATTACCTTGTACAGCCTCTTTTATTACACCAACAAACTGACTCCACAGCAATTCTGGATCTAATTCAACCCAGCCAGGACGAGGATAAAGCGATTTCACCTGTTCACAAAACGACACATAGCACTGTTATAATTCCTAGTTCACAGGAACTAGCATTCTTGTGAAAGTTTGTGCAAATACATTTGATTTTCCAAATTTTTGTTCTTAATTTTCTGAATCTACTGCAAGAGGAGAAGCAATAGGGCTTGCTGTTTTCAAAACACGGTTGAATATGGGAGTGTGATGTCTAAAAGACTCCATTCAGAGGGAATGCAAAAGAAGCACAAGCTGGCAGGAACCGGGGAGCCTGTAAACCTCTTTTGGGCCTCCAAACTGGAAGCCAGGTTTCTCAGAGAACCTTTTGGCTCCAATGCTGGACTCTGATGTCGATGACTCTGAGCAGCTCACTACCAGCACGGCAGAGCAGGCTCGGGGTCAGCTGCCAGATGGGCTTCTACCAAGAGGGAGCGTCAGCTCCACAGAGAACGTCCCCTTCCACTCCCAAAAATCCACCAGATTTCTTACACTTCTAGCTACACCCTTTCCACTGCAGGAGCTAACAATAAAAAATTAACTCTGGAGCTTATCTTGATCCCAGAATCATGAGCCATGCCAACCAAAAGCAGCCTGAGATTTGTTTTGAAATTGACACCTTATTAAACAGCACTCTCACGTAAAAAGGCGCATGTAAACGCAAGTGCTACCCAAGTCTCAATTATGCCCTACTAACAAGTCATTCTGCTGTTTCCTGGTTCCAGCTAAACGGAACCAGCTCTGCTTCGTGATTTTTGCTTCTCCGTTCAGTCTCTTCCCAGAGGCTGCGCCTTATGCAGAGCGCGGCCGTTTCTGCCGGCAGGAGCTGTGCCGGCAGGTGTCGCCGCTGCTGGCA